AAAAATATATACTTTAAGAGAGTTCAAAAGTTATTAAAATTTTAAGTGGATAGAATTGTGCAACATTTACACTTCACTGTAAATAAATAAATTGATGTCAATTTGTTGACCATGAATTAATCATCCAATGAAGCTTATAACATAAGCATCAATATTATAACTTAAATGTTTATTAGTACAAAAATGAATTGGCTGATAAGATAACTATTATATAAAGTCTAATTTAAATTTCAATCCTAATGAAAAAACTGTACACAGGAATTCGAAGAACTTAAATAAAATTTTACATGAATACCTATTTCCAATCTAAAAAAAATGATAATAGTTACCTATTTTTTAATATAAATCAAATACTGGATACCAACTTCTATTTTTTAAACAGGCAACTAAATTTACAAGACTCATGATTTTCATTGTCTTACAATTATTGAATAATTCTTTGGAAGGTAGGTTGGTAGTTTATTAACTATTTATTATTTTGAGTAGGTTCTAGGTAGATACAAAATAATGTAGACAATCAGTAATTTAATTTTTCAGGAAAAAAAGAAAGTGCATGGGTCCCTAAACAAAAAAGATTTTGTTTTTTTTTTCGAATAAAATATTAAACAGGCAAATATCAATGAAATAAACCATCTATTATAACATAGGAACCTACTAAATTGAAGTTACCATTAACTGATAAATATACACTAGAAGATTTTCAAGAAAAAATCTATGCAAATACGTTTTACAAGTTTACTCACCAATAATAAACTTGCCAGTAGTTGGTGATGTGGGCGTAGTAGCAGTACCACTAGTGTGTAAGAAATCCGTTAATGACAAGGAAGACGCAATTATTTGTCTTTTCTCTTCGAAGTTTAAATAGTCCATACTATTACTCCTAGGTTGTTGTTGCTGCAGTTGTTGATGGTCCTGCAAATTGTTCTGTTGGCCATTGGAATCGATCTTGTCTGACGAGGGTGGTGGTGGTTTCTCACCATTTGCGGGCAGACACCCGCTGGACAAACGTACCGACATATCACTTTACCGACACATACTAACTAAAAATTCACAACCTCACTAATATTTCTATTACAAATTACATCGGTCTATGTACAGACACAAAACAAATACATAAGAAAACACAACTAGGTACCTACGGTAGGTAAAAAATAAAAAAAAGAACAATATATCATATATAATTAATACTATTTAACGAATTAACAAAACACTCGGGAAGCACTTTTGTTGCGGTGGACCTGGCGAACGAGTCCGCCTAATAGATCAGGATGGCACCAAGTTCCATTGGCGTTCTCCGGCACTGACGTCCACGGCGGCCAGTATTCGATGTCTGGCGATGCCGTTCTCGGTTCTCGTGGGCATCATAGACGTACGGCGACCGACGACATTCAATCAACGGAAAACGATATAATATTAAGAACGTACGTACACCGATCGGAATTCGGGGACGCTCGAACGACCGTTGCGCGCGCGCGTCCAGTCGAGTGTTGCTGTCACGGAAAACCACCGCGGTTTGGCACACGGAAACGCTAATCGGACTAATTTAATTTATTTATTACTATTATTGCTATTATTACTATTATTACTATTATTACTATTATTATTATTATTATTATTATTATTATTATTATTATTATTATTATTATTATTGTTGTTGTGCGGCGGCGGAAAATCAACGGGTTGATCGGTGGGAGGGGAGGTGTATTGGAATTTCGGAATTTTCCATAGATAAAGAGATTAAAACGATTGCCGAGAGAGGTTCGTTGCGGACGATAGGTGGGAGTGAAAATAGAAGGCGGGTGCACAGTGCTGACGTTTGCACGAAATCTCCAAACGTTTTTTTACAGTCGACATAATATTGTGCATTCGTTCCGGTGCGTGCCCAGATTGGGTTATTTTTACTCGGTCCCGCCAATACGCTTTCAACAATAAAATTATCTAGACCAGACCGCAAAATGACAATCCCTCGTAGGGCGTCTGTCTGGGTCTGGCCATGGCATATTAATATGTATAATTATTGTATGCATTACATTATTACTATTATAGTATTATGGTGTTATAGAACACGGGTCACTGAACATTGTGTAGAAAATAATAAATACAATTTTTCCTACATTATATTCAAATGACGAATTAACAAGTCAAAATACATACTGAAGAAATTAAATGAACTAAGAAAAAAATATGTATTAAAGTATGCATCCATCACTTAGAATAGTAAACACTGGTGTGTTTGTTCAAAATATCCAAATCTGTAATCACAATAAGTTTTTCCTCTGACGTTTGTCTGTTGACATCATAGGCCTATAAAGATATGATCAGGGCCATATTTCCAATCTTTGCGCCCTGGGTCAACCATAATTTTATGCCCCCCCCCCTTCAACCAAAAAAATAGATTTACTCTTTTTATTTTTCTTAACACATTTTTAATTATAATTCTATATGGTTAAGTCGTGGTTGTCTATCTGTAACCGTGGTTATGGACAATGGTAAAATAATATTAATTATATATTCTATAATGCTAGGGGCTATCTGTTATCGTTGCACTGTTAAGTTCACAAAATATCACAAGGGTCGAGTCATAGTACAAATTTTTTCCAAAAAAAATAAATATCTATTGACACAGTACTACATCAAGTTACCGCGGGAGGGCCCGGCCGCCCCCTAAATAAATCAATATTTGGCCGCCCGGGGCAAATGTCCCCATTGATCCCCCCTAAAGACGGCCCTGTATATGGTTGACATACACCGTACAAGGTCGGTTTTGAATGACATTCGACGTGATTAACAGTCGAGACTGATCATTGGGCGACGACTGTTATTTTATAGAAGTTTTTGCACCAAGCTGGATCGGTGGTACTCGCGAAATAGGTCAAAAAAAATTTACCAGTATTATACAAGCATTTCGAACAAGTATCACAAACAAATTTCATACATTTTATACCGTTATTTTTTGTAAAGTGTTATTTATATAGGTTTAAACGAAAGAATTTCTACGATTTTTTAACGAATGTATAACACATATTGTGATGCCAAGTTTTTTGATATTTGCTGAATAGTGGATACACGATCTATAATTAAAGTTAATAATAAAATCATTTTTTTGGAAATTTAGAAATTAACATTTTAATGTTTAATCTGCAGTTAACTCAAGTTCTAAATCATTATTTACTACTACTTTAGTTAAACAGAACTCAGATGTATAGTTTTTTTTTTGCACCAGTCAACCTAATACTAATAGAAAGTAATGAAATAGGTAACTATGCTAATAAGTGACAAGGTTGATTTTTTTTTAGTCTGTATAGTTACAATAAAGATATCTTTTTTTGAAAATATTTTTTTTTATTTAATTAGCTATTAGCAAAAGCTATGATAGCTCAACAGTTACATTTTATACATAATATACAATATTCTATATTACATTTTTAGAAATATATAATGCAATTATAATACTTTGAATTTTGATATTCGTATACCTATAATAATATTACTCTTTTTAATTCAAAATATAATCCAGCTATCCGGGTCTCGGAACTCTATTGTCCCTATATTTTCGATACTGTATAGACTATATATGGACACCATACTAGCTACTATATTTGTAAGAAATTTAAATATTATACATAAAATGGATTTATTTATTTAATCGTCCTTGATTGTATGTTTAGAATGTATGTTCTATTTAGAATCTAGATTGGTACAAATTTGATTCAATTATATATTTGTATTAGAAAAGTATAAGTATACTCTATTGACTCCAACAAAATTTAACAATTCTGTTACAAGTGTCACGTAAAACGTATTTGAATCATTGATTATACAATGTGTCCTGAAAGGAAGTGTCCGTCGGGCGCCAAATTATAATGATAGTATTTACACATAGCCGCAATTGGAGGGAGGGGGTGTGCTTAGCATATCCAATTTTAAAATTAGAACCTGCAATTTTTTTCATGTTGATTTACATTTTAATAGTCATTATGCTGGTATCAAAGACCATAAAATAATATGAAAAAAAAGGAACTTCAGCACCCCAAGTTTTTTCATTGAAATTTCACTCTTGTATAAACAGTATACTGTACTGCAGGTACCATAAATCATAATAAATAATATTACCCTAAGTTAGGAAGGTATGAAAAAATCTCTTTAAACGAAGGGTCAACGGGGGTCAAACTCTTTTATTTTTCAGTTATTGACAATTTAACTCCTTTTTTTAACAAAACTTAACCTACAGAAACCGAACATTTGCTGAAGTAGGTATTTTAAAAATTTGACTTTTTATCGTAATTTTTTTTGTAATGTTATATCTATTTTGAAGCTCTATTAATTAACAAAAGTACAAAACTAAATCAGAAATGTACAAATTATCTTTATTTATTAAATGATTAAAAGAAGTAAAGAAAAATTCTGCATTTTTGAAAGTACCCAATAAAAAATAAAAGAATAAGAACCCCCCTCTTTAAAAGGTTTTTCATAATTTAAGGTATACCATTATATGACGCTGGTCGGTCACTGACTTCTCCCTCCCTTAGGTACACATTGTATACCTACTATTTTCTAAAAAAATAAAAATGATTTTTCTACAATTTTGAATTTTGTCAATGGATGGTGTGACCACCGGCTCCACAGGCTCCGTCACACAAAATGCGGACTGTAATGGTGAACGAGTAGGTTACCTACTCGAATCGCAGCTGTCAGCGGTCAGGTTGTATTATTTTACAGAGATTGTATAATCTTAAACACTGAACCTCGGAACAATAGAAAAATATGCTAAATAATTAAAAAATACTTCGATAATTTGATCATGGTTTCAGTATATCTTTAAGGAATATATAATGTTTGTAAATATGTAATTGTTAATGCATTATTATAACCACAATAAATAATTTAGTAATAATAATCATCAGATGACAAGTAATTTATAACATTGTAATTTATACCTGCTTAGTATAATATAAACATAACATGTATTATTAAAGTGTATTAACTTCATCAGGCATCAGATACCTAATATCTAAATAAAAAATAAATATTAGGTACTTCACTGCGATTGCACTGAATGTAACAAAATATTGTTTTAAACAAAACAAAATTTATAAGCATGCGGCATGCGGTATAAACTATAAGAAGTAGCTACCTTTTGAATACGTAATTTATTTTAGTTGAAGTCAAATCTTTTTCTATAATGAGTGTACCTATAACGGCTATGCTGATTGTTGCGCCTGCAGGTTGTGCAGGTACTAACCACTGGTGCCTTGCTGAACTTATGAATAATTATGATACCATCACATTCGTAAACATTAACACTGAAAAGTTGAAATTTGTTAAAATTAATCTTGGAACAAATTAGAATAACCATAAAATAAAAATAGTCGGAATAATTTTTTCGCAAAGAGACATCGGCTTACTTATTCACAGCCTTTGAGCCTTACAACTCACAAGGATCAATATTCTCTTGTATTAGCGATTCACAACAGAGCCTTACAGTTACATATATTCAAGTAAATACAACTCCGTCATAGACATGGCAATAATGGATAGTTTTATAAAATAATAAATTGAATTCAATAAGTAATAAGTAGGTACTAGGATTTCCGTAAAAGAAAATAATACCTACACTGTCATGTGCTGTGCTTGTCAAATAAAAATCATTGAAGCCTAACCAATAGTATCATATTGCTATTTACCAAAAAACAAGAATTCTTACTTCCTAGATATACGTATTATCCGACTATCGTAGCCATTTTTTAATCCCATTTTAGATTCTGAGCCGCAGAATGATAAATGTATTGATCATATTATTAATATATGTGCGCGTGTGTGTGCGTGTTTAAGTTTCTTCTTTTTTCCTTTTTTAACCTCATCACCTTTTGAAGCAATTAAAATTCTTATGTTTTCAATTCAAACAATATCTTCTGGCTGTAAATTGAATATAGTTAGTACTTTGGGCCTCAGGAGATCAAAAGTAAAAATATCCAGTACCTAGGTACTTTTAATTAAGGGGGAAAAATATGGAAATTTACAATGAAAATCAGTTTTTGGCAAAATCTATATTCTTTTTTTTGTAATTCAAAAATAAATCTGCAGGTATTTGAATTTTTCACCAAATGTTTGAATTAGTATTTTATATACATGGTATATTTTTTTAAATTAAAATTATGATGTTTTTTGAACTATTTATAAAAATTTAAAAAATAAAAGGTTCCTTATAACTTGTTTTTAAAGATACATGTATACAAGAGTTTTTTTTTGTAATCATTTGAACTTTAAACCTGTAAAGTAGAAATTAGGACGAAAATACGAAATTAGATATTTAAGAGGACACCACACCCGCATGTGCTGTCTCTGTCTAGTCTGTTATACAACATGGCAAATTTTCCGTTCACAATAATACATTTTATTCTGTAATTTCTAAAACTAGAGTGAATTAACCTCATACAATTTAAATAAAATAATATTATCTAGGGCATCTTATAGAGGCTTTTATATTAATATTTTTATGAAGAAGCAAGTTAAGACCATTTTTAAACGTCTGTACACATTAAAATGATCATAATTTAGTTAAAAACAATATCAATAAAATCTTCTAGATGCCCTAGATAATAATAATACCTTTAAATTGTATTATTGGTCAATTCACTCTTATTTAAAAATAACAGATGAAATAGATTATTGTTAATGTAAAATGTACTATGTTGTATTTTTGTAAGATAGAGACAACACATGCAAGTGTGGTATCCTCTTAAATAAAGATAAACAACTTCTATTATATCAACAATGTAATTGAAAAATATTATTCAAAGTACTTGAAACTTATAACTACGTTTATTTTATTGACACAATGACTTTTAGATTAACACATTTTAATCTATTGTTTTTTGTACCACAAACCCATTCACAAAGACGAATAAGGCGGTATTGGCTCAAAAGTTAATAGCAATACTAAATGTCACTGAAAAGTAAGAATATAGATATTTTATGAATCTGGCAAATTAGTGTGCCACAACACACCCTTCAGAAACCAATGCTTTAAACTAAAAGAAATTGAATAAGAATTCAAAAAATTACAAATTATATTACACCACAGAACATTGTTATAATATTTTAATAAAAAATGTAAATCATTATTAAACTGAGAAAAATTCATAAAATACAAGGAATTGCAATTATTAGACACTCAAAAGTCAATTCACTTCATTGACAATAATTTTACTTATTATGTTATACTGTAAAAGCCATAAATAACTATTGTGAGCTGAGATTAGTCTACTTATGTGTTTGTTTTTTCAAATATTAAATGATTATACATTATACCTTAAGTATACCTTATCTGAAAAATATAAGTAGGAAATTGGAATGTATTTAATATAAATAATTTCAAATTAATAAATGGTTGGAATAACATATCATGTTAAACATCTATACAAATATTATTATCTTGGAAATTTCAAATTAATAATAATTAAATGTAAAATAATCTTCAATATTTTTAATTTTTAATTAAAATTTGTGTATTAAATTATATTATTCAAATTTAATGCCCTGAGCCAATGTTAATCCAGATCCATGATTAATTGTAATAGTTGATCTTCTCATATACTGTTTCCAAGAATCTGAACCAGACTCTCGTCCACCACCAGTATGCTTTTCACCACCAAATGCACCACCAATCTCTGCTCCGTTTGTTGGTATATTAACATTAACAATACCACAATCTGATCCTCTGTGGCCAGTCCACTAGACAAATAAATTACTAAAATTAATACGTAATAGTAAAATATTAAAATATAATACAATGTATAATTAAAATATATGTTTACACTGAGAGGTATCACTAAATATTTCAGATGAAGGATCATTAATTGGAATCAGGTTTTTGGTAGGGGAAAGGAAAAAAACTTAAAATACACTTTTTGAGAAGATATTTAATTTTTAACCCCTTCAATATAATTTGTTTAATAACAATGCTAATTTTTTACTTCAGATTCTAATTGATAAATTTTAAGTAAGTGGAAATTTACAAATAACCAGTAATAAACACAATTTTGCCCATATTAATTTTATAGTCAAGATATTTTTAAAATACTTTTTGTATTTTAGATACTGAGAGGTCAGAAGACATAAATACTTATGTTAATTAAATAATACAATTAAAATGAACAAATTTTAAATGTGTTAATTTTTATAATTTCCATTACTTTTAACTATTGTTCAACTTATCTTAAAAAAAAGAAAGAGTGGAAAAATTGGAGGTTAGGTTGGACAAACATTTGAGTAAATTTTAAAAACTAATTATTGTTAGAAACAAATTATTTGTAAATTAAAATTCTAACTAAGTTTAATCAGTAATCTTGTACATTTATTAATTAAAACAAAAATTTGTTGTTGCTTCCACTTTAAAATAGGTAAAATGTCCTAAATAGAGCTGAGGAATTCTAGTTTTTTTTTTCATATTTGACTAGAAAGGTTGCAGAACAATGTGTGATGCATAATTATATTTCAAAACACAAATAGGTTACATTGAAAATTTTATTTTGTATATAAATGCATATTTGAAAAAATAAGAACGAATTTTGAGTGTAAAATTGGTCTAAAATTAAAAGCATATATGTACACGTTTGAAAAATTTAATGTTTAAAAGTAAAATAGTTTCTACACAATTTCAAGTATATTAGACTATGTTATCAACTTTAGGTTGACAATAATGATCAGTGGTGGGCAGATCGTGTCAGTATAGTTGTTAATATCCAATGATTACTACTTAGGATGTTGATAACTTTTGCATTATTTTCCCTTTTGATTCTATACAATGCTATATGACCTAAAAATTTGTTTCATGCTCCCCAACATCCTCATTTTATTTTGAATGTTTTGTTTTGTAACATCATTTTTTGTGGTTTTTATACAATGTGGGGGCATTTTTCTAAAATTTTAGTTTTTAAAGGAAATTTGTATAGTATTCAAAAATAATATTTTTTATTAATATTGTGATTAAATTTATCACATACTGATAAGATTTACCGGACATCTACTATAAAATAAGGCAAACAATAGCAACCAAAATGGAGAATGTCATTTCGAAGAATAACGGATTTAAAATAGTAACTAACATCTTTGAAATACCAGATAGCAAAGGCACAAGAGGAGAAGATATTTCAGAAGATTTAACTACTCAGTAATTTCATTATATTTTATTTAAATTAACACAAATTATAACAAAATTACTTTTAAAAAGTAATTTCTACAGAGTAACGTGTTATTGTCCATGTTATTAAAATAACGTACAAATGTAAAAACTCATGAAAAAAGTACAAAACCTAGGGTTTAGGATATTAGAGAAAAATTAAAAATCAATTAAATTTATTAATGATTCCAAAAGCTCTAGATAATAATTAATATTATTAAAGGTAACTGGAATTAATACTTATAAATTTGGTTCATACTAAAAATTATGTTGGTAAACGCAAATGTAATTTAAATAAAAATATTTAATGTATTGAATAACGTAATTGTATTACTTTTCAAAAGTAATTTACCCAACACTGATAGGTGCATAAATAAGGTTTTTACTAGAAGCCCTCATGTTTAGTTATAAACATGTATTTTGATGTAGGTACAATATACATACTTTGAATACTGTTCCAACATCATTAGTGAAGATACTAGATGATAATCCTTGATCTACACTATTATTCCACTCAATAGCTTCTTCCAAAGTATCATACTTTAATACATAAACAATAGGAGCAAATGTTTCACGGCGTACTACAGGTGAATCAAACCTCAAACCTGATATAATGGTAGGTTCAACAAAATAACCAGGTCTATCTAAAACCTATATTTTAAATTGAATTGTTCACAACTATATTACATTATAAGAATTCTTATACTTAATAATAAAACAAAATATTACTTTTCCTCCAAATTCAATTTGTCCTCCAGCCTCAATAGCCTCAGATATTGTTTGCTTAAAATTTTCCACAGCTGTTGATGAATGCATAGGACCATAAAGAGTAGTTACATCAAGCGGATCTCCCAATCTTTTTAAAACATTAGAATATGCCTTAACCAAGTTTACCAAAACAGTATTATAAATCGATTTATGCAAAATTAATCTTCTGGTAGTGGTACATCTTTGCCCAGCTGTTCCACAACACGCAAAAACCACAGATTGCGATACCATTTCAAGATTAGCATCAGGAGTAACAATAATAGCATTATTACCGCCCAGTTCTAATAATACACGACCAAATCGTTTTTGCACTTCCACACCAACCTGAATTAATATATTTTCAATAATATACAAATATAATGAGGCCTCAAACTAATAATATTAAAATCAACTAACTTTTTGGCCAACAGAACTACTTCCAGTAAAAGAAACTAAATTCACCCTTTTGTCATTAACCATTGACACCCCAATATCAACATCACCAGTACACAAAGATAGAACAGCTCCCGGAATATTATTTTTTTCTAAGACTGATGCTAAAATTTTTGTAGTTGCAATTGAAGTAAGAGAAGTAGTTGGTGCTCCTTTCCATATTACAACATTACCACATATCTATAATTTATAATAAGATATTTTAATTTAATTTAATTTAAAAAAAACTAAAACTTATAGTAAAGAATACCATGGAGATAGCACTATTCCAACCATAAACTGCTACAGGAAAATTAAATGCACTAATAATTCCTACTAGTCCCAATGGATTCCATTGCTCCAACATAACATGATTTGGTCTTTCAGAAGGAAATATTGAACCATTAAACATTCTTGACATACCAACAGCATAATCACAAATATCAATATACTCTTGGACTTCACCGATACCTTCTCCCAAAATTTTACCTACAACGTCAACAGTAAGTATTAAATAATTAAATCTGCCACGATAACAATTAGTCATATGATTTTACCCATTTCCAATGATACCAATTTTCCAAGTGGCTCTAATTTTTGTCTAAACGCGCTACCAATTTGCCTAACGATTTCACCACGTTTTGGTGCAGGCATATCAGACCATATCTTCCATGCTTCAAGAGCATTTGAGACACATCTATCATAATCTTCTTCATTACCATTACGTACTGAAGCAATTGGCAGACCATTTGCTGGACAAAACGATGTAGTTACCTGTAGAGTAATTTACAGAAATTTAAATAATCCTATAACACTTATGTTATACCAACATTTCCATTTGCGTCCCATTGTCCGTCATACACACCTACATTTTCTTCGCTTAAGCCAAGTTCTTTGAGAAATGAATATTTACTGTCATTAATTAAAAAACTACTGCTTTTTCTTAGAGACAGATGAACATACTTCAAAAACTTAAGTGGTTTTAAAGGACTAGAATTTAAGCAATTCATGGTTATTTAAAGTTTTATAGCTGTACAATAATATTAGTAACTATAAATATTTGATCTTGGATTATATTAACAGTCCATAGATAATTAAAAACTGTTGAAAAATAACTTGTTTGCTAAACTTGTTGCTATATTTGTTTATCTTATCAAAAACAGGTTATCAGTAAAATATTCTTTTAACCTTTGCATGTAGAACACTGTTTATTAGAATCATAATTATTTGATATTTTCACATTTATGAGATAATTTATTTAAAAAATAAAAATAGTTATTTTTTTATACATAACATGACACCTTTTAGGTTTTATTATTGTTTATTATGTACGTTTACAAAACTTGCAGTATTGGAAAAATATCTAGCTGAATTTATGCCAGAATTTTTTATTTCAGCTGCTTGTGGATTCACTATTTCTAATCCCTAAAAAAGAAAAAGAGAAATTATTAATTAACTATTTATACAAAAAAAAAAAATGTCCAAAATATTAAACCATATTAAATCAGTTTAATTCATTGATGGCGATTTACTAAGCATGACCTTTTTAAAGAAAATTGTCATTAAATATTAATACACATTAATATAAAATTAATCACCAAGCACTATTCAAAGTAGAGTAAGAAGACATAACAAATGTTTATTAAATTACCTATAATTAAACAGAATAAAAAAAGTGACAATTAAAAACGAGATAGATGTGATGAAAAAGATGTGGCATATTCATTGTTCAAGGCCATGTTAAATGATCAAGTTTGAAATAGTTATTTACTTATAAAATGATAAAACATAGTGAAATGAAAAAAAAAACATTATGGCTCACCCTGTAAATGCAATAAAATGATCATACTAATCTTATCTTTCCTTATTTATTTGTTTTTTTATAGTTCATAGAGTAATACACAATATTTTCTTCCACTTTTAAGAGGACAAAATACTATTATTTTCATTTTAGAGTAATTATCAGAGTAATTTGCACGAGATGTCTAGCTCATTTAACTTTTAAGAGGACAGCATACCTCATGTAGTGTCTCCGTATAACATAGCAAATTGTACGTTCTGAATGATTAATTTAACTCCGTTTTGTTTAGTTGTTGAGTGAATTTACATAATACCAAATTTAGAAAATACTATCTAGTCAATGGTGTAGGTTTTCTTATATTTTAATTTTAAACTTAGTTATGAGCATTGTAAAACTGTCAGTTATTTATGCATTTTAAAATGCTTATAATTTGCTTAGAATGTGGTATTTGCTATATTTTAATTTGCTATGCGTTTTTGCAAAAAGGAGACAACACATTCTTGCATGATGTCCTCTTAAATAGTTTGTATAGTTTATAATACATTTTTATATAAGTTAGTTTTGACATTTATTTAAAAATTACATAGTATGTGTTAATGATGCATGATGAACAATAACACTTAGTAGTATAAATTAAATCAATCTTATATCTCTCGCATCTTATCATAATATGTAATCTTTCATAAAAATGTAATGGCTATTTAAAATACAACTTACTTGAAGGGGAGTGAAGGCTACACTAGATGCAGTACCAGATACTTGTTTTTTAACTGAAGTAGCACCACCCCATGCTTGCTGTTTTTGTAAATTTTTTTGAAGTGTCTTTGAAATTCGCACTTTGGTTTTTTCATCAACTTGTGCATGACGAATTCTACCAGTTCCTGACTTTCCAATGGTTCCTCGAGTATATCCTAAGTCTTCTTGATATGCGTCATCTTCAATCTTAATTTAAATAAAAATGTTTTAACAGTAAATAAAAATTAATTGTTTTAAATATATTTTTGTAATATTTACATCTGCAAAATTCATTCTGTTTGCTTGTTTACGTAGCTCTGTAACAGCATAACGTTCCTTCATTTTTCGTACTCTTTTACCGCCTCGCTTCTTTCGACCTGGGTCTATTGGCTTGGGTAGAGGCTTGATAAATTTAACTGGAGGTGGTTCCTATAAATTTTAAATAATACATTAATTATAATTTAAAACAAACAAATACAAAATATAATATAACAACCGTTAATTTGTCCAATTTTTTTTCAATATCTTCTTTTAATGTCATTCCTATATGTCCATCAAGACTCTCATGTGCAGCATCAACTCTTGCAGCTAATGTACTTTTAGTCGCAACAAGCCTAGCTGCTTTCCTTCGTAAATCCTAAAGAATTGTTAATCTAAATTAAGTATAACTTGTTAAATTGAATATATAATTTAATAAATATTTCTTACTGGTGGATTATTTTGTACTAAAGAGCAATGAAAAATAAAACCAGTGTGCGGCATTGCATTAACTTGTGAAAAACCTGATAAAAGTTTTTTTTGAGAACCTAATAATAACACATTACATGCTGGCATTTTTGATAAATTCGTCAAGCCTCCAGCTACACCTAATAAAATTAAATAAATACACATATTAATATAGATGTTATTAATATAAAATATATACAAAACTCTATATAAGTTACCCATAATTTTTGCAGCTGTTGATGCACCAACAATAACAGAAAGATTAGGCGCTATGTATGTCATTCTACTCTCTACATATTCATAAACTTTCAATTTTAATTTATTAAGGTCAATAGCCATATCACAAGCTTCACGGACTTCAAATAGTTCATTTTCATTTAAAAATTGTCTAAAATACAAAAATTAAATAAAAATTTAGGCTAAATAAAAACAACCTTAATAATTAATAATCTATATAAATATTCAATCATTTGAGATTTAAAATTATGAAGAAATTGAATAAATAATAAATATAGGTACTGAGATTATAACTTGCACAAGATAAAGAATATTACTCTCGAAATTTATAGTTTATCATATAAATAAAAACAGCAATTTGTAAATAATTTACTAATATATGTGATTATGTGAATTAAGTCAGTTTTTTATAACTTTAAGTATGGCTTTAAATATCTAATTTTACCCTTGTGTAGTTGACGCAGTGACAGAAACAACCATAATAGTAGCTTGAGTAAGAAATGTTGGAAGTACTTCATTGTTTTTTGATTGTTCAAGAGTATTACCCAGTTCTTTAACTGTTTGCACATATTCTAATGGGCCAACAACTAAAGACTCTAACTCTGGAAATCGTTTTGAATATTTATCTCGAACAAATTTATGTATGATTACTAAAGAAATAATAACAATTAGTAACTATTTATGTTTTTTAATACATCAGATTTTCAATATCTTACGAATTTCATCATCAATCTCTACAATCAAATTGTTTGCATCCACAATTAAGATATATTCAGGATCAGACTCAACGGGTCCTAATTCATCTTCAGCTCTCCTTTGTCTGCTCTGAAATATATCAATCTGCTGCATTATATTCACTAAACGCTCTGAATCCCGTAACTTTGCAAGATCGCGGATTTTGGCATTTTTAAAATCTACAAAAGGGTTAAAAAAATAATTTTTGTAATTTAGGCAAACAATATATTTAATAAAAAATACCAGTCTGTTTGGGAATCAAAGTGTTATCTTGCAGTTCATGAGGAGTCTCCTCTTGTACAACCATTGGCTCATCATCATCGTAGCCATCTTCTTCCAAATCAGCAAGTAACTCTTCTGCTAGAGACATCTTAAACTGTCTTCAGTCTTTTAATTTAACATTAAAAACTATTTAGAAAAACATCAATATTAATTATTACTACTTATGATATGTTATAAATAACGTATTACATAATCTATGTAAATAAGTTTTTTATTAGCATTTGCTATTACAATTATGTTTGAATTTTTCGTAGGTAAAGCTATTATATTAAACTTACCTGATCCATAGTCTATTTAATCATGGCTGATTCCTACCAATTTGTTTGTGTATACAGCACTGATACAAGTGTTAGTACAGATTTGAGATCCTATAATATAAAATCTGTGGTGTACTTACTGCTTGTCGTTATAGCTACTCGCGAAGTGGTCCATTAAATTTTACTCCATTAATAGATTTTTATTCGTTAAGCTTCGTTGCAACAATAGTACGTAAAGCCGGCAAATGGCAATGAAACTTAAATTGGAATAAGCATTAAGGCATGGAATAAGTTTAAGTATTTGGAAATAAATAATTTATCAATGTTTTGAAATATTCTTATCGCTATGACGCTATTTATCATGGAAAAACCACATGAACATTTCTTATCACCATAATAATAATAATAATATCTTATGTTTATAAATTATTTAAAACTGTTAACATCGAACATAAATATGATAAATTACGTAATTGTTGCCTGTAGAGTGTAGAGAGTAGATTACAACATATTACACAGTCTGAGTCAGTTAATAGTAAAACACTAAAACTGTGAATACCTACTTAATTTATATTTCATAGTTAGGATCTACTCAGTATTCAGATTAATTTTTATGGAACATTTAACATTTTATCTACCAGTAGGTACCGAATAAATAATAATAATTTAGGTATACAACAACACACAAGTATTCCATATACTAGTTATACTTTAGAAATGTTAGTTTTCATGTCAAATTAATTTCTAAAACATTTGCTTTTTTTAAAATAGTTGTACGTATATTCATTGAATTGCTGACGTTTAATTCCAAAGTAAGTTTACCTATTTAATAAAATATAGTTATAATATGATGTACCATGTTTTTTTTTTAAAAATCATTTAACTTAAGTTGTCTATTAAATATATTATTCAACATTTATTGATATAAGTGGTTGGTATTTTTATTTTCCAATTAAAATGTACACGATAATAAGTTAAATTTAAATTTTTATTTGGTAGATGTATGTTTTCATTGTTAATTTGTGTTGTTTAGTGATTGTATTTAATTTTATATTTGTCATAAGATACCTAACTACTACCATGTATTCTTTAAAAGCTTAGATAATTGAAAATAAATATTTTATGATTTGTATTTATATTTATGTAGATTAGTAATAAAATAAAATTTTGATTACTTTCAGTTTATTTTGTGGAATACTGTTATGAGTAATCCTAATCAAAATAAATGGAGAGGTGGCGGACATTGGAAAAAGTATAAAAGTAAAAATAATCAACCAAAAAATACTATAAATATTGAATCTGATGTGAATATTAATAATGAACATTTTGAAGAATGTCCATTTTATGGATGGCAACTTTATTTTCCAAATGAAAAATATGATGAAAATAGTATGGCAGTAAAGTGTATTTTGGCTTGTGTATCATTTTTAAACATACATGAACAAAATATTTCTATTGAACAACTCGTAGAAAATAAATCATATCTTCTAAATGTAGATTCCTTAAACCAAGATGAAGATTTCACCTCAGTCTGGTCACAATTTTGGGATGATTTAACAAACCGCCCAAATTACACATTGCAATGTTTAGGACTTGCTATTCATCAGTATGCATTAGAAGAATTAAATAAAAATATTCATGATGACAGTACTAAGTTCAAAAATTTGCCAATAATTCATCCTAGAATTATAAATTTTGGTCCAATTTTTCATTTAAAAAATTTAAGAGCTGATACAGATGGGAAACTAATTTTAGTTCATGGAACTGTAATAAAAGCCAGCAGTTTGAAATTTCAATGTTTGTGGTTGGGATTTTCGTGCAATACCTGTGGTTCAATTCAAAGTATCAAACAACCTGATGGTATATTTTCAAAACCAAAACAATGTAGCAATGCTGCATGTCGTATCCGCTCATTTTCTATTTGTAGAAATTCACCACTTACTCAGACTATTAACTGTCAAACTATTAGAGTTCAAGAATTACAAAGCGATGACCAGAGAGAGAGTGGTAGAGTACCTAGAACTGTTGAATGTGAACTTACAAATGATTTGGTTTATACTTGTATTCCTGGAGATGTTGTTACTGTAACTGGTATTGTAAAAAAAAAATCATGTAATACTGGTAAACAAAATGCTCAAAGTAAAGAATCTAACATTTTTATGCAATATGTTGAAGTTATATCCATACAAAACAATAAAAACCAATCTAAAGGAAAGGTAACGAGCACTGCATTTCAATTTACGATGAGAGATTATTACTGTATCCAAAAACTCCATTCAAAACCACATCTCTTTGAATTAATGGCAAATTCATTATGTCCTGGTATTTATGGTCATGAAATGGTGAAAGCTGGTATGTTGCTTTCACTATTTGGAGGAAGTAATTGTACTTTAAATCAAACACGTGGAGATATTCATATTTTAGTCATTGGTGATCCTGGTCTTGGAAAATCACAAATGCTTCAGTCTGTGTGCAACATTTCACCTCGAGGTGTGTTTGTTTGTGGAAGTACATGTTCATCAGCTGGACTTACTGTTAGTTTGACTCGAGAGAAAGGTATTGATTTTTCTTTAGAAGCTGGAGCTGTTGTTTTAGCTGATCAAGGTGTTTGTTGTATTGATGAATTTGATAAAATGACTCAAGATCATAATACATTACTGGAAGCTATGGAACAACAAACAATAAGCATTGCGAAAGGTGGAGTTATTTGTTCTTTACCTTGTCGTACTACTATAATGGCCGCCGCAAATCCAATTGGTGGACACTATGACCGAGATAAAAGTGTATTAGATAATTTAAAAATGAGTCAAGCTATGTTATCTCGTTTTGATTTAATTTTTCTACTTATAGACACACCAGATGAGTTGACTGATAGACATCTAACTGAACATGTGCTTAATATACATACAAATAAGTTGAAGCAAACCCAGAATAATATTAATAATTCTTGTGAAATTCCTAGTTCACTGAAAGAGCGACTATCACAATTCAGTAAAAACAATGACTATATATCTCAAGCAGAATTACGTAAGTATATAGCATATGCGAGAAAATATGTTTCGTCTCCAACTCTGTCGAATGAAGCCAAAGAAATGTTACAACAGTTTTTTATTGAACTACGTACTAACAATTTAAGCTATGGTATTCCAATAACTGTACGACAATTAGAATCATGTATTAGACTTGCACAAGCACGTGCTAAAGTAGAACTTCGAGAAGAAGTAACTGCAAAAGATGCATATGAAATAATTGAACTACTTAATTTTAGTCTTGTAAAAACTCAATGCGATGAATTTAGCGGATTTGGATTCAAGAAAAGTGGAAAAAAAACAGGAATTCGAGCTCAATCAAAGAAATTATTAGCTGAGTTACAAAGACTTGGTAAAACAGAACGAATGTTTAGTGTAGATCAAATGAAGTTACTTTCAAAACAGTTAAACATTGCTACTTTAGATTTCTACAACATTGTAGACTTATTGAACAACGAAGCAATTATAATTAAAAAGGGAAACAATATGTATGAGTTAAAAGTTTAATAAATATTTATGTTTGAAACCATTACAGTCTGTATCCTTTTCTAACTATTTATACATTTTTTGTATTATTAGCTTACTGCATTAAATTTCTATGTTCTGATTAAAAAAACTAGGATAAGTAAATTGTATTAAATTTCTTTTTTGTAATTTTATTTTATATATTAATATATTTAATTAAATATGCTAATCGCTAATGGTTACTTATAACATTTTCTGTTCCTGAATTCTTAATGTTAAAAAATAATGTATTCGTATTTGGACACAATTTATGCTATTAGTACCTATTTTATTTTAAACAATATGTGTTTTAAGTTTTATAATATTTGTACATGTACGATAAGATTAAAAAATTTTATAGTTAGTAGTTATTATGTTTTCATTTCAAAGATTATTATGTTCAGCAGATTCTACTACATAATATGGTATGCTACATAGGTACATACCATAATTAGGGTTTGAATAGAGTGTACAACAAACTTATAATTACTACTTTAACATATTCACTTCATAATTTAATATTCTTCATACAAGACTAAATTTTAAATTACTAATTATATAAAGTTTTTAAATTTAATTACATTATAAGATTGTCAAGCAAATTTTAATATTAACGTTTATCAAAAAAAAAAAAAAAATGGTGATTGGTGCTATAATGCAATAGATAATGTAATAACTAATGAGTCTTAACACTTAATGAATACGATAACTGATTTGATAATATTTATATTGTTATTAATTGTATAGTAATCATTTTTCTGAAGTACTAAAATGTTCAATTTGTATTTAATTTATTTTCCAAAGAATATATGTTCAACACTTAAGCATAATACATAAGAATAAAAATTCTTATAATTACATTTGTTATAATGTTATAGATGGACAGATCAAAACTATGTGGATGTAAAGGAGTTAGAACTTGTTTCGTATGTGAAAAAGAGTTCAATTTAACTCCTACTGTCAATCCTGAAAGCTTAAAAGTTTGTTATTCTACTCATTTTTATTTGGTATTGTTTTCATCACATAGTTTGTTTTTAGAAATTATCAAATGCATCATATTGTTCTTACTGCAATTTACTATGGAGTGGTTGGAATGCATATGAATATAAAAACCATCCAAATCATACTGGTACGTCATACTATTTAGATGGTATTTTCATTGAACATGAATTCATCACGGAAGAAGAAGAAACAATGCTAATAAAGAATTTAGATGCTATGCCTTGGGATGTATCACAAAGTGGCCGTAGAAAACAAGTAAATACATTTTGTCTTTATTATTTTTTATTTAAATAAAAATAAAAATATATTTTTAGAACTTTGGACCCAAGTGTAACTTTAAAAAGCGTCGCTTATCAATGGGAAATTTCAACGGTTTTCCATTATCCACTAAGTTTGTTCAAGATCGTTTTGATCAAATTCCAATTATGAAGAATTATTTTACAATAGAACAGTGTTCATTGGAATATAGACCAGAAATCGGTGCATCAATTGATCCTCATGTAGATGATTGCTGGATTTGGGGTGAAAGAATTATAACATTAAGTTTACAATCCGATACTGTACTTACTTTAACTCCACACAACATCAAATATAGTAATCAATACAACATAGACTATATACCAAATGTCGAATGTTTGCCCATTCCAGTAAATAATGTTAATTATCCAATTGATGTTGTGCGAATATTAATGCCAAGAAGGTCACTTTTAGTTTTATATGGAACACCTAGATATTTATGGGAACATTGTATACTCAGAGAAGATATTCATGAAAGAAGATTATGTATTGCTTACAGAGAATTCACACCGCCTTATTTAAAAGGTGGAGAAAAGTATACTGAAAGCTGTGATATATTACAAAAAGCTAAATGTTTTTGGTAAAAATAAATTTTTTTATTTGAATACCAACATGTGTTTCTTTTTATGATTTCAATTTATAATTTATCATCAATAGTATAACAAGAATCAGTACAACATATTATGTCTTAAAATTTATAACTATTATAACCACCTGAAACATCTCTCTACATTCCATATCTATGAAAAATTGAATAAATACAACTTGTATAATATGATAATATAGTTGATTAAAATAATACGATTATCGTATTATACAAAATTCAAATATCTATTTTACACCAAACCATTTATATTGTAAAGTTAATAATTGTGAGATCTTATAAAAAAAAATATTACCATTACTGCTTTGTATTTATTATTTTTAACTTTTTATATGCACAACACATTTATGTCTATTAATATAGTTTATACCATTGGTAGATAAGTATAACATCTTTTGATGTAAAATATATTATCATTTTTCTCTTTATATTTTTATATTTTTATAAAAAAACTATTAATTAATTGAAAAATAGATGCCATATTAGCATTATTGTTTCAATGATATGGATGATTTTAAACTTGTTTATAACTTTTTTGAATAGACTTTGACAATGAACAAGATAGCATAATACCGACCAACTGAAAAAAAAATGATATTAATAGGTCAAATATTTATATTTTCTTATATTTGTTGATAAATGATATTCATCAAACCTGCAAAAACGCTATTCCTATGGTAACACCACTTAACGTACTGGCATTTTCTTTTACAATTTTTGTTAAAGACACATAGCATGGTTGAAGGTAAACAGTTGGTTCAGATGCTGTACAATTTTGATGATCTATCGCTCCGTCATATGATCCACAACAAGACATTGGTAATTGGTTTTCGAGTATGGGATACCAGTCATCCAATTTCTCAGCTCCACAACAATGTAACTTTTTATTTTTAAAGTAATTAATAAATCAATTTAAAAAAAGTATCATTATTTAATCTTAAAAATAATGATAAGTATTATTGTTTTGGAAATGATCAAATTCAATTTAATTTCTATAAAAAGGCGTATTTGATTTCAACTTTCAATGCATCTTGTTTAGATGTATACCTAACCACCATTGGCTATAGTCTATAACTGAGCAGGATAATAAGTGACAAACCGCAATAATATTATACTGTTTCTGGATATATACCTACCTGCCTATCTATATTAATTATTAATAAAAGGCAATGTGTGTGAGTGTAACCGATTCATGGCCATGTCTATCGCACTCATGGTTCTATCTGAAACTTGATACAAAGGTAGGTAATCTTATACCTGAGTAGGTGATCTTACATTAAAATTTTGCATGTTAAAGAGGGGCTCGCGTAGAGATTTATTGGTTCACCCAAAATATTGAATGACCATTAGTTACGAGAAATAAATAGTTATAGTAATTGGATATAATTTTAAACATGTATCTTAAACTTGGTCTAAGCAACCCAAAATAATGTGTTAAAAATATGTGTTGTTTACATTTAACGAAGCTTAAGAGAGTGTAGGTACTTGTCATGGGCTACGCTGTGCACGATCGGCTATAAAAATAAATCTACTGAGTACTGACTACTATATAAAATCATGTTTTTTACCTACTTTCATAAAATGTTCGTCAATACATCCATTAAGATACATACTCTTGGACCCTAGGCTAGACTTTTTATAATTTGTTTTTTTCCTTTTTAACGCTTAAGTTGGATATAATTGGCTCACGAAAAAAACCATCAAGTTTTTTAATTTTGTTGCCAATTGAAACCAAATAACTATGTTAAAAATCTGCGCAGTAGGTACTACAGTTTACATTTAACAGAGTTTAAGTGTGTGTAACATGGCCATTTAACTTGTCACGCGTGTGTAACGCCGTTCTTAAATTTACTCAAAAATTAAAAATATTTTTGAAAAACTTGTATTTTCATTAAGAATCACGCGGAAAAATAAAACGTTTTGCCGTTTTGGTATTTAAGAAGACGTCACACCCGCATGTGTTGTCTCCATCTTACAAACGTAGGTACCTACGACATAGCAAAAATTGTTTTGCTTTGGATAGAACCACTGTGGTCTCAGGCTATAATCCAAGCTAAGCTGCTAAACAATCAAATTTTAACACTACAGAGAGAACATTTACTGGGCAACGTCGTTTTTATTTTTTCGACAATTAATGCAAAAAAAGGTTTTCAAGTTTGAAACAATTAGTTTTTAAACAGTAAGAACTTTTCTTGTATTTGTGACATCGAAAAAATAAAAACGACGTTGAGCAGTAAATGTTCTCCTATTTATAGGGTGAACATTTGGTAGCTTAGCTTGGACTCATTTTCTTAAGTTAATATTTATTGATTTGAATTCATCAGTCAACGATTGTTAATAAATACGTGGCAGGTAGGTATCTAATATCTATAAAATTTGGAACTATGATTTATGGGACATTGGGACACATATTCAAGCATTAGAGATTATTGCAGACCAACTATATCGGAAATCCAATCGTATTCATAGCTGCTAAAGTTACTACCAACTCAAGACAAGTGTCGATAAATATTAAATACCTATCTCTGGTAACCCTAGTAGGTATGATACTTATTGGTAGATATATTAGGTACCTAAAACTTAAAAGACGTCTACTCGTCTGTCGTCGATGTAACTTTAAATATGAAAAAAATCTTAAGTGTTGTACTTTACAGATAAAATAAACTTCTTTGTATTGTATTATTGTAAATCTCAAAAATTATGATTTGAAATTACAGTTGAGTAATGAGCATGTTTAGACCAAGAACTACTATACTACCATAGGTATACCTATTAAAAATTAAAAATAAAAATGATTGTGTGATTAGTATAATATTATTGATGCCATCATAAAATTAACATTTGTGATTTCAATAAGATTAGGGAACTGGGAAATGATCATTAGCAAGTAAGTGTCCTAAAATCCCGCTCACTATAGAAGTGGACCCTAACTATACTTACTGTCACATTTAAGAATTTTAAACAGCCAAATTAATTTAAATACTGTGTAAACTGAACTATAAACTTGGTACTACGGTAGTTTATATACCTATACGCCTTTTCATTGTTATGCGTAAAAAGTCATGTAAATGTTTGTCATTACAGATGTTTGAAGTCCGTCCCATATATGTGTTATGTGCGTTGTTTTGTTATAAAACATCATAGTTTCGTGCAGTTTTGATGTCACTACAGAATGAGTTTTTTCCAATAATATAAACCCTGCTAAACCGCCTACGATTTCCAATATAAAACATGATGCTAAAAGAAATCCGAACTAAAATGCATAAAAATGTAACATTAATACAAATGTAATATAAAATAAATACTTATAGGTACAGTACCGTTAGTCTGCAGCATATATTAACTGTACAAAATAGGTATATAGGTATCTATAACATTTGTATTTTGTACTTACAGTGATCATCATGCAGTTGTTTTCCTTATATGTGCCACAGCATCCAAAAAATGATACTGTTAGAACTGTGAGACCCACGAAAATCAATAGAGATGGCACAGTAAAATAGTGCTCTGATAAAAATTGTTCATATTGATTGTAAACGTTACGAATTGATAATCCAACGGTTAAAAGTAAAATTCCACTCAACTAAAAATGTTTAAAAAATGTTCTTTTTTTATATGTCATTCTACTATTAGGTAACTATATTTAAAA